AGTCAGCTGGGATAGGCTCCAGCCCTCCGCGACCCTAGTGAGGATTCAGCGGTGTATAGATAATGGATGGATGGATGCTTTGTAACATTTTTAATGATACCCAGCCCTCATGGTGAATACCTTCAATTTCCCAATAAAAGCACACATAATTGCTTCACTGTTAGACAGACAGAGATGCAGACACAGGAAGGTGGAAACTGATTCATCATGTAAAATAGGAAGTACAGTCTTCATATTTCAGTTTTATGTCTTACAGTTCTTCTGCAGTTCGAGACACGACATTTAAACATGAACGAAATTAATTGTATTTTAAAGGCCGGCAATAATTTTCACAGCTGTAGCTGCCACTGAGCTCATGAACTTTGTAATATTTATAAGGGGGTGGTTTAAGGGGAGCAAAATTTTACAGAAAGCATAGTTGAACTTCTGAGCTCATTGATAAACAAAACATGAAATTTTCCAGTTAAATGCGGTTCTGCTGGATTTTTGGACGAAAATCTTTCTCTCACTGTGGTTCACTGGAGTGCTAAAGCTTTAAAAATGGCTTTGTAACCTTTTCCAGATTGATAGATGCCAATTACTTTATTTCTCATCTGCTCTTGAATTTCTTTGGATGGTGGCATTTTGTTACAGATTTTTGAGATCTTTTGGCTGACTTCATTTTGTCAGACAGGTTCTGTTTAAGTGATTTCTTGATTGAACAGGTCTGGAGGTAATCAGGCTTGGGTGTGATTAGTGAAATTGAACTCAGCTTTCAAAAAAATGTGATTAGCCACAGTTAATTCAGGATTTAACGAGGGGGGCAATTACTTTTTCACATAGGACCAGGTAGGTTTGAATACCCTTTTTCCCTTAAAACATTAAATCATCATTTAAAAACTGCATCTTGTGTTTGCTTTGGCTATCTTTGTGTAATTAAAATTTGGTTGATGGCCTTAAACCTTTAAGCGGTCGAAATATTCAAAAAAATAAGAATTCGAAAAAGGTGGCAAAAACTTGTTCACGACACTGTATACAGGTCTGTACCCTGCAGGTGTGTCTTTAAATTAAAAAAATTCTTACTGTTACTCAGTTTTGTACAGATATTGCTGTTTGTTTGCTATTATAAGTTGCATTTTTCTAGATTTTGTACAGGTGGGGGAACAATTCCCTTCGTGTTTCATTATTTTCACAGAAAAGTGAGATGGTTCATCTTCAGACTTTGTGTTTGCAGAAAATAGGAGGTAAACAGACTCCGCCCTTTTGCCCTCCTCCTGTATGGGATTACCTGCAGCTCTGGTCACCACGGTGACAGCCAGTCTAATTGGTAAATGTAGGTTTCAACCAAATCCTCACCAGCGCAGCCTCCCTCACACACACACATACACACACGCTCAGCAGCTAGCTTAGCAACGCTGAGCTAATCTTCTCTAAGCACATTAAGCTTTATGAGGGCTGAGCACAAAAGCCGCTTACGCACACACACACACACGCACGCACGCACACACACACACACACACACACACACACACACGGACCATCACAGATACAGTAATGAGAATTTGATCAGTGTTTTTGTACTTAATGTTGTTGCTATTGATGTGTTGTTTGCTTCTTGTGCACCAAACGTTACTTTCACTTCATTAATAATGTTAATAATGTTCATGTCACCTGTGTGGACCTAAGTGTGTGTGTGTGTGTGTGTGTGTGTCTGTGTGTGTGTGTCTGTGTGTGTGATCAGTCTGGGTCAGTCTGTTTGTTTATGTGGTTCAGTTCAGTGTACTATGGATAAATGATGTCACAATTGAAACATGGTCACTCTTATGTAAAGGCTGAACCTTTAGCTTCATTTTCTACTGTAAAGAGACTTTTTAATGCCATTCAGCTCATGGCTTACGTACTGTATGTTGTCTGCAATTTATATTAGTAGCCTTCTTAAAAGCTTTTTCTGGTTTACCATAATCAAACATGTTTGCATTTATGTAGCCATCAAGTTTATATTTAAGATTCCCTTCATTTATGATAATTCAGCAGAAACCAGTAAACCTCTGAATCCCAAAACTTTTCTATTTTTTAAAATAAAAATCTGCATAATGCCACCATTTGTCAGAGCCAGAAACGGTAAAAAAAAAAAAAATCCCCAAAAGAATTGCTGGATTTTTAACTTTCCACTGGTTCTTGAACTACTCATCTGCAATGTGAAATTCTAGTAAGTAAGCAAATCTAAGCTTAAAATCATGGCATTTCATCAAAGTTACTTTATTGTACATGTTTAATTCATAACTAA